TGCTAGTCATACGGAATGATTACCTCAGGAAATAATTTACGCTAACGACGAATAGCAGGGCTACACTTATTGCATAGTCAAGCACATACACGCGAAATATGTATCATACCTAATGTAAGACTTAAAAAGTAGCATTATATAGGAGGTTATATATGAGTCTATAGGATAAAATTGTTGCTATGATACTGATAATCTTTGAAATCTTGATAACTAAGTATTGATGCATGCTGTTGAAAAACATCTTGATATAAATTTCATTTTATGACTTGAACAATTTGTTTGTTTTCTTTGACTCTAACCTTTTGTTATGAAATAAGAAATGGGAGTGAAAATGCAAATCTCTTGTAACAGAGTTTATTATTTCCAAATGTATAACATGATAACATGGTAATCAAGATATATAAATAGGATATGGTATTATGACTTATTCTTCATAATCTCACACTTTAGCTGCTGTGTTTGATGCAATACGTTTATGTACCCACAAATCATGTATGTAGTATGATCGTGTGAAATTGTGAGAAGAAATTACACATATCTTGCAAAAAAATAAATAGGGTTTGTTTTTTCAATAGATGGATAGCTAAATAATGTTTAATGATTCAAAGTTACCATGTTTCCCAAAATGGCTTTCTTCGTCTGATCGCATTGTCAAGATGCATTTGTTTTAGTTAAATTGTTATCATTTGAATAAGGTTTAAAACTGCTTTCTTATAAATAAAAGTCACAGACCTACCTGTTAAATACTGCCTTATACATTATAAAACAATGTATCTATCTAACTCTAAGTCAATCACATTTCACATATTATATAACTTTTTTAATATCTCTTTCACTGACACTTGTCAGGAGCGATTTCCATGCTTATTTGTGATTTACCTAAACACCTGAGAATGAGAAGAAATGCAATAAATATCCGTGTTTCCACAAAAAAAAGTTACATACAGGATACAGCAGCCCATAAAACCTGCTATTTATTTGATAAGCATATCTGGAAAACATCAACAAAATCAACAACATTCACATTTTCCTGGTTATTAAATGACAAGACACGTAAACAATATTTATATTTTAATTATAACAGTTGCATATACACACACCGTATTATGAAACTATTGTCCGTTGACTGGAAATACTATTAGGTAATTTTGGACTCTTTTTTTCCTGATTTTAGACTATTTTGAGCAGGTTAAAAGTGACAGCTTCGGAAAAATCCGTGAAAATGTCTGTTTGTTGTTCAAAATATCTCAAGTTTTAACTAAATGGCAGGATTTCGTGTTATTAATATAGACGTTCATCCATTGGGGTCACGCAAACCATATATCTACCCCGTGGGTCTTTTCTTGAAAGTTTTACAGACATTCAATCTGGTCCGGTCGAAGAAAAATGCTGCCGTTGTAGGCAGATACTTATTTTAAATGCTGCCCTCGATGGCCTTTATATGTCATAAAGCGATGAACAGTATTACCTCGAGAAAATAATGTCATATGCTAGCAAATGAATATCCACTTACTATAGTTACAGCTGTAATATGCAAATGGAGTTATATCTTGAAACGGGAGTGAATTATGCGCTGCTAAACTTAAAGAGATATTCAGGCAAAATAATGAAAAAAATATTAAAATGATCTTATGTACTCAAATCAGGCTGAAATGACGTTTCTTGAAGTTTCAGCATGAATTTCTGTTTGAAGGTTATATATTTTGGGTTTGAAACGTAAATATATCTATATATGTTGAACAAAATTTAGACGCCAATAGAATCACCAAATAGTTTTAAAACAAGTCAGGTGACTTGAACCAACCCTTTAAGTTACAATAACAAATATTTTGCATATTGTATGATTGGAACAAGTCTATGTCATTCATTTGAAATGTTCTTTAACGTTTTCAGAGTTCACTTTGACAAATATTGCGAAATCATTGCGCTCTAACCTGACCCACGCGGGTCATGTTTGGTAACCACCATTTTATTCTTTATATGGAAAAAAGTTTTGTTCCATTGACTGTCTAATATATTCATTTGAGGGCATTTACAGAATAATGAATGAAAAAATCAAAAAGAAATGAAAATTTTGACCGTGTCTCCCTTTATGATACATATGGTATTGTATGCATGTAACTGACAGACACAACAGATCAAGCAGACATGCATAAATATAGAAAAATGAATTTCTTCATGTTAATTGCTCTATTTATAGTGCAATTTGGTCGTACTGAATCATCACATTTTGTATTGTAACTGCGTGTAATTTTTTACCAGTAAAACATGACTTTTATACCTGATATCCAGAAGATCAACCTAAAATACGACTTTGTTGTATATTTTAAAAACAGCTGCTCATGTTCTATGTCATTGCAAAAGATGTAACCATTTGAATGACATCGCCTGTCAATTCATACTAACGTAAACAAAAATTGACGTCTTTATGTTAGAGTATTGTTAAATATTGCAAAACATGCAACCCCAATGTCAAACAATGTTTGTTCAAGCAATTATATCAATACATAATTAAATTTAATCTCAAAGAGAAGTAAGAAATTAAGGAAAAGGTAATGAATCACTCCATAATATATGATAATACTTTAAAAAGACTGCTGATATAGAACGATAATAATTACTATAACATAACCTTACACCGTACGTTCCGTAAAGATCCAGTAACTCAATTGTTATAAGGTTTTATATCATACATGTGATGCTCAAATGAAGATTTATCAATATTGTAAGTTCCAAATAGCATTACTTGTAAACATATCACCGAATTTACATTTTTCATGTTAATAAAGGGAGGTAAATAGAAAATTATTTTCTATAATGCAATCATTACACATTAATGTGAACAAATATTTGTAGTACATATTTTACATATTCTTCGATGTTCGAAAATTTGTTTTAGAAACATAAGTATATACATATATAAAAATCTGGAAACAAAGTGATCCCTCGGAAGCATAAATCACAACAAAATTACATAAGAATTGCAGACTCGGTTTGATTGAGTCTATAAATTTCACTTAACTGTGGTAACAAACTTTACTAAAACATACAGGATCTTTAAAAGAATACATTTGTATCATTTTATACTAGTTCTATGAATATTCGTAATATGAATTCAAATATCTTTAATAATACATGTGTTTATTTCAGAGCTCCAGCAGCACCTAGCAATCTAAAAATAGATTGATATAGATCTGGTAGCTTCACGAAAAAACATGATGAGGACGTCAGAGGCAGAAGGTGGTTGTCAACTTGGGCTTTGGCCAAAACAAAACGAAATAATTATTAAGTAGTAAATCAAAGAGATTGACACCGAAGAAATACACGGTCAGAAATTTACAAAAAAACAATGTATGCTTAACGAATGTAATATAGTGTAATGTTATAGACATGTCATGTACTAAGACATAAGCTATCGACAGAGTGATTTGCATATTTTCAAGCTGATAATGGTAACTTAAGGTCTATTTTACTTTTCATTCAGACTTTCATTTGTAACAAATGAATCGAAATGAGTTTTTATTGAAATATAAGAAATGCCAGAAAATATATGATATATTTCGCACCTAAATGAATTGGCGCAGGTAGCTATCTTCCTCAAAGACATATTATGCCTCAGAAATCAATATTTCTTAATGTTTTAGAAATGTAAGACATTTGAATGATAGATTAAGGGCATTTTAGATGTTTAACAATTGAAGAAAGTAGCGCTGAACGTGCAGTAATGTGTCACAAAGGTAGCAAACATGTGAACAAAGTAGTATTTTGACTTCCATACAAAATACTTATACACTATAATTATATCTATTGTTATATCTATTGAGATTTAGTTGCAAAAGATAGATGAGTATTTCTTTAATAACTGTAACAAAATACCTAAAATTATAAGTTTTTGAGTAATAAAATTGGCAGAATTTGTGAGGCATAATGGGTCTTTAAGCATTTTATAGCACACTAATCTCGCAAACGTGCGAATTGACTTATGGTTAATTATATACGAGTATATTATGTTTCTTAGAAAAAAAATCAAATTAAACTTTTCCGAATCTGTAGGATTAGACATATATATCGAAATGTTCCCATCAAAGGTTAAATTCTCCTGCGTTGAGGCAATAGAAAACTGTTGTTTGTCCTATTTTCATACCGCCTACTTAGAAGGAGTCTATATAGGTACATACTTTTGCCTGATACTGTTGTATACTAAATATCATATCATTTCAGATTTGATATTTATCCTAGTCGTATACCGACGACTTTGTAGGAGTCTACACTTAATATTTATTATGCAATCATCCCAGTTTGTTCTTGTAGGGTTACTGTTGCTGGTGAATTTGGCTTCAAACGTGAACAACATTCTTTAAATGTTTCATTTTCTTGAAATTCTTTTTCATTTTACCACAAAATACAAAAAAAAAATATAAAAAGAAGAATTTTTATTATTTTAAAAACAACAATTAGCATTTTATGTCATTTCTCTTAACAATCTAATCAATAATAATTTCGTGGACTTTCATGTTTAATAAATAACGCGATCTTTATTTTGGTTTATTTCACACCTTATGAAATGTAATTAATGAAATTTTAGCTTTAAAAAATGATGTTTTTTTTTCCATCACTTTTTTAATATAAGTGCGAAAAACGAAACATTTGTAACCAATTTATTACAATTACAGCAATCTGTATATTCCAATACTTTTAATATATGTCTTTCCAATGAAACAAACAAACGAAAAGATATTTACTAGAAGCAAGAAAATGTTAAATTTACCTTCAAGACAACGAATGTGCACTTTTAATGTCAGTTATTACCATCACTTATTCTAATTTATCAGTGATATAAACTATTGCATTCATAACAATATTTTTGTATAATTCTAACACTTATGCACTTTAAAATTTTGTATCGCAACAATAGGATAAGATATGATTATCACACTAAAATATTCGGCTCCTTTCGATACAGCTAGAAAGAGAAGTGTTGAATCAACGTTTACAAACAGTTACATCGTATTTATCAATGCCCCGGAGAATGTGTTCCAACGATAAGCATCCTGGTTTATAATGGTGCCAGTATTACCGCCTGGTAAAACCTCGACCCATATCTTCTGTCCTGCGGTCACTATCGCAACTGTATCAGCAGATGAACATCCATAGCTATCATCACCTCTGAACAATGACGTTGTATATCTTGTTCCTTCAATCATTATACCAACAATTAAGATCTTTTGGGGGTAAACACAGAAAGCTAAACTGAACATGTACAACCCATTGACTGGTGCTGTAAACTTTCCGGTACCAAGGTTATACGCATCTGCTTCGTTGAAGAGGACTGTTGGAAACACTATGACTTGACTGTTCTCCACTGACACAATCGCATTTAATCTTGCCTTAAATGCAACTGTAAGTGTTACAGTATCTAAAAATAAAGAACGTTATGGATTTAAAAGCATGCGATATTATTTGTTTTATGCAAACAATTGAAAAACTAGATTTTTTTCCTTGAAATGAAATTCCTACTGTATTACTCATAGAATCCTCAACTTTTTGTTCCGTGTGTTAATAACCTTGTATGTTTCCCTGCTTAAAATTCAATTATTGCTCTTCAATAGAATGGTTAATAATATTTCCGCCACAATGATTACTATAATTTCTACAAACTTTCAAAATTCCGTGACGCTTTTGCGACTACATAATAATAACAATTGCACGGCCGTGCATATGATGATGATGCGTCTTTTGCTTTTATCTCAATGGGCTCATAGGTGTACTTGTGCACTTGCTGCGAGTTTAATGAAACACATTTTAATTATTCAACACGTAGCTTTTATTTATCTTGGACATATATAATGTATAATATCAAGATAAATGCTTGAACTATTGTTCGTGAAACAAGTGGAACAGATTCGGATATTTTGTCGTCCTATATTTGATATAAATTCTTTTACGCTGATCTGATTGACCTCTTTTAATACTTGTCAATGTTTTCTCTTTCGTTTAATCTCCTATACATATCTTATTACTATGATACAAGTACAAAAGATAGAATTTCTGTTAATGAATGATGAATGCAATGTTACCTGTAAGACCTTTAAATTCATTCAGCTTTGTCTTAACTTCCGCTGTGACACCAGAGACTTCTTTCATACTGGCCTCTAAACCTTTTTCCAGCTCTTGTTCATTTGTTTTCATCTGATCACTCACTTCCATCTTGATACTTTCAACTCGTTTAACACATAGCTCAACTTCACTTTTCATATTCTCCATTTTAAATTCCATGCGCACCATTTTTTCTAGCACTTTTTCCTCAAAATCGTATTTAGAACAATGAGGTTCTTCACAATTCCTTCCACTTGTTAAAAGAAAAAGAAGAAACACCTTTTTACAAAGCGACATGTTTGATTACAGGCTCTCCTCACGAACTGCTTAGAACAGATGAACAGTACGGCTTCATGAAGTGATAATACAAAAGAAACTTGTGCCAACTAGTTGTTATACATTTGATTTGTTTTCTTACTCTTGAACGTATTTTTTTCTTATCGCAAAAGATTTATAACCTTAATGTTCTGCAGTAAGTGTTTGGAGGCGTCAGGAAAATTACTATAGATTCGCTTTAGTTTCCAGTGTTTTGTAGACATAAGTTCCATGAACATTAGATCTGGTTCTGCAGATGTTTTGCACACTGATACATTTTAAATGAAACACTTTTACAAGCGATGCCTTTATTAAATTAATTATTATTTTAAACACATGGACATCTAAGAAGTTAATTACAATGAAATTTATTCAGAGCTTTGGCGCTCATTTGGAAATAATAAGAAACATAAATGTCTGACAAACAAAATGAAATATAAATCAAATATTAACTGATAATAGATTTTGACCATTTTTATGGTGAAGGTGAATACAGATTAGATACCGCCCAACACAGGCAAAGCAACAAAGCAAATACATAAATGGCAACAAAACATAAAACTTACAAGAACAAACAGAAGAACAAATAAGATGTTTTTGTACAAAAGATACAAAAACTTATATTGACATATAAGTTTTAGCCAAAACTTATCACTATGAAAATAGACAACACAATGCTTTATCAATATTTAAAACATGTAAGGTTAAAAAAAGCTTTTTCAACTAAAATTCAGATTTCAATTTAAAGCTATATTGATTTAGCTTTGGAAAATGGTCAAATATTATATAAACTACTAAACGACTAGAATGTTGAAGAACCAAATACGATAATAGAAAAGAGTGTCAAAAGTTACTTTAACTGATTAAGAGCATATTATATTGAAAAGCAAGCATATATACAAAATCTTACTCTAAATTTAATTTGTTTGCATCTGACTTTCAATCACGAAGTAATTGAGTGTGTTCAGGAGGAATTTCTGATATACAAGCAAGCGTAAAATCGTTTGTAAAGACTTTGAATCCATACCAATTAAAGAAATGCATTTGTTTTAGAGCATGTAAGATGCTTGTTTCCTGACGGAACTACCGCAATATGTGAAATAATTTGTCATAAAGAACACAAAAAGTAAAGTAAAGTAGTATTTTGACTTCCATAAAAAATACTTAATCATTATAACAGCACTAATTGCAAAAAGAGCAACAGATGAAAAAAGAATATTCAAGTAATTGGTCAATGAGTAACCTTTTGTAAATTATAAAAGTACACCAACAATAAAAAGTTTCTGAGATTGAAATAAAATTGAAAGTATCCCTTGCGCATAACGGACCTTTAAATACACTGCCAGTAGTTGAATTCGTATAAAAAAACAAAGCACACAAAGCTGCACAATATGTCGTTCAAATGTTTGTAATTAAACATTCGGGATTACGCCTCCATTATTATATTTCTGCGCATTTGAACTCAAAACCAATATCATACAAGAACACATACAAAAATAAGATGTATGTCCTAAGTATATGGTATATTTTAGTAAAACGTGCCTTATGCACTACACATCTCAATTTGCATTTAGATAAGTATTACATATTGTGCCTACTTCTTTTTGTTTCGATGTAGTGTACCTTTAAGAGCCCTCCTAATGTACTTATTTTCACAAAGTTCACCTCCAAGATCCCAAACTCTTAGATCTCAACGTCAGATTCAACCACAAATTAATGACTGGTTAAATAATGAGTTAACTATGCCAACTGGTGATGACAGTAATGCTAATATGGATGCACATATTGAAGCTCATTCAAGTGAGGATGTTAGTACTTTAAATCTTGAGCAAGTAATCATTGAGACACATCGGCATGTTAAAGGTTTAAATGTAAAATTTGACGATTTTAGAAAAGATCTTAATTCGCTTAAGGCATCAAATGCAAAATTGCAAGAAGAAAATAAAATTTTAACAAATACAGTGTCAGATTTAACGGCTAAAATTGCATCCATGGAGATAAAAGTCGATAATGCAAATAAACGGTGTGAACACCTTGAAGCTCAGAATCGTCGAGAAAATTTACTTTTCTTTGGGTTTCGACAAGAAAGCCATGAATCATGGGCTGAGTCTGAAGCTAAAGTAAAAAATTACATATCGAACAATCTTGAGATTGACGAAACCACTATTGAGCATAAACGTGCACATCGCTTGACAAAAAAGTAACCTCTCCTATAATTGTTAAGTTTAACAAATTCAAAGATAAAGATCTTATTCTACAAAAATACCGCCAAGTCCGGAAGTCCAAAGCACGCAGCAGCGATCAACTAGATTATGACGATATTCGAGTATCTGAAGACTTTACATCGCATACTAGGAAAATCAGGTCCAAACTTTTTCCGTATATCGACATCTTCAAGAAGCAGAACAAAAGATCGTTTATTAGATATGATAAGCTGATTGTGGACGGTGTACCTTATATCTTTGACTTTGACAAGGATGATATTGTTCCCGAGAAATAGGACAGTGGCCAAGGTCTGAATAATAAAACTGCCACATTTAAATATGGACATGATGTTACAAATTCTGATTTTTGACGTAAATTTTCATGCTATGAAATTAGGTGTGTGGAATATTTCTGGTTTATCATCAAAATTGACTGGAAGAAACGATATTTGTGTGATTCAACAGATTTGTTGATTATATTAAGTCATTTAGCATTATTGGTTTTGTAGAAACTTGGGCTAAGATTATGGTGAGTTTTCATTAACTGGGTATACATTTTTTGATGTTATTAGACCATTAACTAAAAAGGCAAAACGAAATTCAGGTGGAATATCTGTTTTTGTAAAAAATATTATATTTCAGTATGCAGAAATTAGACAACTAAGATCCTCTAGTCACAATATTTTATGGCTGCTTGTTAAATCTTAAGTTAATATTTTTCATGATATGCTATTTGGTTTTGTTTATATTTCTGCAGAAAATTCGTCCATACATTCGAATGAGGCATTGTTTGATATCATCGAAAACGAGCTTGCTATTTTCAAAAGTGACTATCCGGGTCATTCCATTTTTGTTTTAGGGGTCTTTTATGCATATACGTCCACAAACCCTGATTATATTGCTATGGATGATGAATTTCAATTGTTAAGTGATTCTTTTTATATTGAAGATACTATTCCGCCACCTAGAGCTAATTCTGATGGTAAATCTATAAATAATTACGGCCAAAAATTGCTTCAGCTTTGTATTGCTACTGGGTTTCGTATATGTAATGGCAGAATCGGTAACGATGCTGGCAAGGGTTGTTGTACATGTTATACTGATTATTCTCCTAGTCTTATTGATTATATTTTGTCTGATATGTCATTATCTGATTGTGTCTTAGATTTTGATGTTGAAAACCGAATTGAATCTATACACATGCCCGTCTACATTAAAATTAAGAGCTCATCACAATTAGAAGATAATCTTTCTGAACAAGTATTTAGTAATGTCTCTGAAAATCTATATACTAAACTGAAATGGGATGAAAATAATAAACAACAATACATTGAAAAGTTAATTATAGGTTTTGACTCTATGTATGACTATTTTGATACTGCTTTAGATAATAATGATATACATCTAGCTATACAGAGACTAACAGATTGCTTTTACAATGCTGGATCAAACATAAATAGAAATACTGGTGTTAATAATCTTAATACAAATCAGAAATGTCAAAAATGGTATAATTCTACTTGTAAACGACTTCGTACCAATGTTCTTCAGAGGTTAAGAGAATTTCGTAGATCACGCACTGATAACGCTTTAAACAACTACAAATTAGCTAAATCCGAATATCGAGAAACATGTCGTAAGTGTAAGCAAAGATATGAAGCTAATGAACGATCAAAACTTGTCGCTGCTGCAAATTGTAATAACCCGAAATATTTTTGGAATTATTTAAAGACAAACACAGGGCTTAATCGTGTTAATATAACAACTGAAGAGTGGTATAATTATTTTAATAGTTTATTTAATCCCGTTGTTAACAGTGAGTTTGATGATACCACAAACGACAGTGTAATATTTAATGATATACTTGATCCCGCAATCTCTCCCTCTGAGGTCAGCTGGGCAATAGGTCAACTCAAATTAGGCAAATCAGCTGGTATTGATGGCATTACAGCTGAGTTTATTAAAGCAGCAGAAATGGTGTGATGCAAACTCTGTATTAGGTGAAGAACAAGATGGGTTTAGGAGTGGTCATAACACTATAGATAATATATTTTGCCTGTGCCATTTCATAACCAAGTATCTACAAAAACCTCAAGGCCGTTTTTATACTTTATTCGTTGATTTTGAAAAAGCATGTGATCGAATTAATAGACAGGCACTATACAAAAAACTATGCTCAAATAATGTTAGTTCAAAGTTTTTAAAAATGATCAAATCGTTATATCATGATATTAAAGCAAGAGTTAAATCCCCATCTGGACTTACAGAAAGTTTTGAATGCCCGTTTGGTGTCAGGCAGGGGTGTACGTTATCACCATTACTGTTTTCTCTATTCTTGAATGACCTTAATAAGTATGTTAGTGATGGTTGCCATGGTGTCTCATTAGAACTTAAACAAATATTCACTTTACTTTACGCGGACGATTTAGTTCTAATTGCCGAAACAAAAATAGAGCTTCAGAGAATGATTAATCGGTTAAAGTCGTACTGTGATAATTGGAATCTAAAAATTAATCTCGATAAAACAAAGGTCATTGTCTTCAGGAATGGTGGTTACCTGCGTGCTAATGAAAAATGGTTCTATGGCGTAGAAAATAAACAAGTGACGTCTTACTATAAATATTTAGGAATAGTGTTTTCGTCTAGATTATCATCGTACATGTATATGTGTCAAAAAACATTTATCTGAACAAGCAAATAAAGCTATTTTTTCACTTAAAACAAATTTATACAGATTCGGACAACTTCCTGTATCTCTATTGTTCAACATTTTTGACTCAAAAATACAGCCTATATTGGCATATGGCTCTGAAATTTGGTTTTCTTATGAAGCTAAAGCTATTGACATCGTACATAACAAGTTTTGTAAATATGCATTGAAATTAAACTGGTCAACTCCTAATAAGTATGTATATGGAGAGTTGGGCCGGTTTTCACTATATTGTAACAGAGTTCTTAAAGCAATCATATACTGGTTTAGGATTCTAAAAATGAATGAAAATAGATTACCTTTATTATGCTGTAAAGTCCAATACCGGTGGGCAGAAAATAACATTGATTGCTGGGCATTTCAAATTAGGCGTGTTCTTTTCATAAATGGATTTGGTCATGTATGGATTAACCAGGGAGTAGGAAAAATTGACTTGTTCTGTCGCGAATTATCTCAAAGATTGCGCGATATTGATGTTCAAACATGGCGGGAGGCTCTTGATTCATCTAGCAGACTGTTGTTTTATAAAAGTATTAAAATTGACTTCATAAGAGAATCGTACCTAGATCAAATTGAAAATTCATATTACAGGTCGCTCATTGTAAAATTAAGAGGCGGTTTACTGCCCTTGGGTTATAACACTGGGTTCTTCAATAATATACCAATTGATCAAAGGATATGTCCTCTCTGTTTTACGGGCTTAGACGACGAATATCACATTCTCTTGATTTGTATTCACTTAAATTATATACGTAAAAACATTCTACCAGATATACTGGTGAAAAATCCTCCACGTGCAAAATTTATATCTGTTCTAAGAAACGCAGATGTGACATTATATAAGACTATCGCACGTTTTTTCGATCATGCACTTAAATATAGACGCCAATTCAGTACTTAAAAAAATACATACATAAAACTTTATAAAGGTAATTATATAGTGTATTCTACAAATGATCTACGAAATTCTCTTAATATCTTTATATATCTTTAAAAAACATTGATATGATGTCTACACCTGTTTATATTACAATATACTATGTATATCTATGATCATCTCATTGTATTTTTCCATTGCTATTTCATGTTTGTTGTATTATGTTGTATTTTGGGCCGGAGGCCTATGTTACAAAAATAAACTTTACTTTAATCCAAATTTTTCCCCTAGGTTTTGTTTACTAATCGTATACGTATTATGACGCGATCTGACCATTTAAATCTTGCTTATCTGTGTATTTTCTGACCGATATAAAGATTACGTAACAGTTTTGCGATTAAGGATACCTATTACGTGTAACATTTGATGACTGAGATAATAATAAGTTTTCGGAAAAAAGGTTTTAATGTACTTTATCGTGTCTTATCGCGTGTTGTACAATTAAACTTATTATAGCATAGGTAGTGCAATTTTCCATTTTTTGTTTGTTTGTTTGTTTTTGTTTTGTTTGTTGTTTTTTTTTTTGTTTAGTATTAAGTCTTTTTGCACGCTGTCACCATTGCAAATGCGATATAACATAAGAGTAAAATTCACTGTTTAGATTTAGTAAAGTCAATTTATTTTAAACAGAGTTTAACTGTTAAAGTATAATAACGTATATAGTATTGCACGTTTAAGTACATTTTAGGTAATAGCAATTACCAGTGTAACAAAGGTTGCATAAGAATTTTATTTAAACAAACTGTTAGTGTAAATAACATACTAATACTTAAAGAATTATAAGTTCACAAACAAAGAATGCTCAATATATACAAAAAAAGACTGGTACATTTCAGTATATCGTATTTGAGAAGTCGTAAAATTTTAAAAGAAGCACCCTATTGATAATGTACATGTACTAATTGTACATGTACATGCTTCTCCCGAACCGATACGCATACATTGATTCAAACACCTTTTTGCTATATATCATCGAGGTATGGAAACAACGTTGATACAACTTTTATTCATTCTAAAGCGTGATGTACACGTACTTTACTCCAGGATATACTAATATCCAGTCATTTTTAAAGCGTAAGGGTTTGTTTGCCATTCTCAATGCAAATTGATATGAAAATATTTATCTATATGGTTCCAATAAATAAATAAAAAAATAAAAACAGAGGTACTGTCGTCCATTTAATATTTGTATCGTAGTTTGGGGACCTTTCTGTTGAAAATGTGTCCGACATATACATGCAGAATGCGTTAACTGGAGTGCAGCACTCAAGAGCATGCCAATTGATTGGCTCATTTTGGCTGGGGTTTACTTATTGTGATGGCAGAGAAAAGGAAAAGCGTTATTAGTTACTTTTTATGGGGTTTCATATTAATACAATAGGGAACGTGTTTTTATGTTTGACTATGATACAAAAGAGAAAGAACACCAAAAAACTCTGCAATTTGATTAATAATCGGGTGCTACGCCCCCTCGTACAAATCAGATAGCCTCGTGTTTCAATTCTCTTTCTACTACATGTTTATACAAAACATCAATTAACATTACGATGAAAATTTAAAAGAAAAACATTATTTAATTGATGCGTAAAATATCTTACTCTACTGTTTCGGGGTTTGCCATTACTTTAATTAAGAAAAGAAATCTGACATTAAAAGAAATCTTAGCATTGGCTATCTGCGCATACGCATATAAATGAATTGAGATAAAACAAAATAATTTCTTTTAAATACATGTGTTTTAAAAAATAATCTTTATTGCTACATCATTTACTACAGGTAATAATTTGTATACGGTCGTGTAAATATTTGTCTTGACAAAAAATTTATAAACTGAAGTTGACGCCATCAATCGTATGTCTGACCTTTGATGAACTGTTACACACTTTGAGCATATTCCTCAGTACAGACCATGGTGCAGGTAATGAGTGTACGTTACTGTAGCAGTTCAGGTATTTTTAGATTTGATCGTTGCTCGTTTCAAATTTGATCAGGTCACACAGCCAAAGTTTAGACCAGTAAAGGTCACGCGCAGTCAGCTTGCCAAGGCATGCTTGTTCCTAATATGGCAAGGTCACGCAAAATAAAAGTACTTTTATCATTCATGCATTGACATGTTTGTTGAACCAGCAAAACTCAGATATATCAGATTTTATGAATGATATGAATGAAATTCCTGATTGTTTTATCTATATACAGATTACTTGGTTCAAATCTTGAGCTATATTTTGTTTAAGTCTAAAGACTTGTCAATCGAAAATTTCTAGCCATAAATAGTACAAATATCTTAACTTAATGCAAGTTTATTTTGCAATATGTTGCAGTGTTGAATAGATAGTTATGCTATTGAGTAAACATGTATGTAACTATAATGTTTTTGTACTTATGTTGGTTTTTCACAACCGTCTGTAAACCTGAATCATTTGTGCGCCATTCGAACATTGTGAAGGCATGTCAGTACTTAAAATAGGTCGCGTAACATTAGGTCGCGCAATGAGTCGTGCGCCCAACTGCCTTTGAACACCACCCTAGCTGCGCAAACAGAAGGTTATATAAGCTGGGAATTTTCTATTTTCGGGGATTTGAGTTGAAGAGGTGTTAAGTTTAGTTGTTGTTGAATTTTTTATTTGCTTTTAAACTGTTGCTAGAATATCATAATTATGATGCATTATTTTAGTCAAATTCTGCTTTCACTTGGATTTCCTATTCATTATGCAAGCATAGAGAAATGAAAGACATTTTCAGCGAAAACCTGTTTAGACAGATGTCTGTTAAAATTGAGTAATTTCGTAACAGTACTTATGATTTTAAAGGATCTGGATTCATTTGAAAAGAGCAAAGAATAAGACAGCTACGTTTGATAAAATCAAACGGGTATTTTAACCGGATAAGTGTGGATAAGTTTTCGATACCAACTTATCGATTATGCTATAATCATATAAACATTTAAAGCGGTACGTACTCCGACAAATGAAAGATTATTGTGCTATAAATAAATGACTGAGTTTGCCAACGACCGAAATGAGATAATCAGGTCAGGCAATAAGAGGACGACTGATATAATCATATTATAAGGTTACCTACTTGAATTGATATGACGTCACATTTGAAAATCGGTCACTTCTGTTTTAACTTTATAACCTATTTCTCCCAAAGAGAATTAACTTGGTCAGTTATTACTCTATACCAATAAAGCTGATAAGTCGTCCTATGGCTTTGACTTACATCTTGAAACTATTATAAAACGTTTTTCTCTTATAATAAGTAGAATTTAACCTTGGCGTTAAAGAACAACTTAAATACGTTGGACTTTGTTTTAAACTATTTGTCGTCCAAAGATATCGACACATTATCACAGTAGTCTATATCTGTTTATTACGTAAACACTTATGTAATTATTGATTTTCGTTTATTTTTTAAACTTAATTGAACAATCGTTAAATTATAACGCAATCTTAAATAAAACCAATTTATAAGACCAATGTATTTGACCAATTTATCAACCTTTACTTTGTTACTTTATTTAACAACTGCAATGGAAAACCATTACGATATTTATAGCATTTGTCTAATAAAAAAAACTAAATATAAACGCACTGCGCATAAATTTATTTGTCATTACCAACATATATATTTATTATTTTATGGACTACTAAAACTTTAACACTTATTTTTAATTGTGAGTAATGCACTTTAAAGATATAGGTCAAATTTTAGGTTTGGGTGGACATTGATAATTTAAAAAGTTAGTATATGAATAATTTGATATTACACTGAAATCAGGCCTTGCATTTTGTTTTGCAAACACAAAACAAATATCCTTATATCTAAAAAAAAAAAAAAATCAATAACTTGCTCCTTCACTTAACATCGTCATACTATATTGCCTTATTACATTAAAATGATATATCATTATATCATGTATCAGATATGTTCATCCTAGTCAACGTGGTCGCGACATAGTATCTCGTGCGCACCGAATAAATAAACAAGCAGATGTCAGCTCTGTGCCACCGTAAATATATTTGCATTGTAGCATAAAATAAAAATGTATAAAAATAATGGAATTTTATCTTGTTCTTGTTTTTTATTTATTTCTTATTTAATTATATCTGTTGTTGTTGCTTGTTTTGTTTTCTTGTTTGTTTACTGTTTATTAGTTTATCATATTCGTACAAACAATATGATGACATAAAAGATAAAAGTAGACTTAGACATTAAATAATGGAATCCCAAAGGTAAAAAACTATATCTATAAAAGCACATAAATACGACCGCAGTGTCACAATCATTTTAACAAGTTGAACAAAATTAAACCTGCTTGGAACATATATTTCAAGGTAAGGTTAATTTCATTTTTGTTTGCGAAAGGATAAGTCATATTGAGTACATTGCAAAAATTATCAACTTTATTTACAGATAATTAATACTACATGTGTATTTATATTTCTTGAAGTAAAATCACAATTCATCCATTTTACGCAATACCCTTCGGTTAGCACATTAAAAAATTATGTTTGGTCCCTATTTCATTCCAACTGTTACAACCTTAAAATGATATAAATATATTTCACATAATCATGCGCTAAAGATACCGATCCTACTGTATAATCATATATTTTCCTCTTTATTCACCTAAAGTTACTGATAAATAGGCCAAGAAAATGCATTATTATTATCATGAATTCAAGGTCAAAATGTCTGACGGGACTTCTGATGTACGCGTATCCAAACAGAATGCATCTAAACCTCCCCCAAGTGTTTTGGGTATAAATGTGGAAAAGCCTAAATTTCCACAATACGCTGTCATTTCAAAACGAACGGAGTCTTTCGAGTCATGGCCAGAATACCTGCCTGTGAAAATGGAAGATATGGTCGAAGCAGGCTTAGTGTACACTGGTAAGATCTTAATTTCTGCAGTTATTATCTAAAAATTTATAACTTCCATTGTAGCTTAATAACTGTAAAAGACCAAATGTTAACTTAAACAGAAATTTAATACGTTTATATTTCACTATGTCATCAACATTCCTAGTAGCCTTATTACTTTCTATTTTTATTTTATATAAGGCGTTGGTGACAGCGTTAGGTGTTATTTTTGCGGCGGAGGGTTACGGAACTGGGAAAAAGGCGATGTTCCAATGGAAGAGCATACAAAATATTACCCAAAATGTCCCCATATTCTGCTTGTGAAAGGAAAAGCATATGTTGAGAAAATTGCTCGAGGAGAAAAGCCAGAAACAGATTGTGCAGACGGAAATAGCAGCATATCGGTACGAATGTTATAGATTATAGAGATGGTTTAAGCGAAATAACAAGTTCTAGTCTGTGCGCTTATCACTTTAATACTTTAAATTATCATGTATTTAAAGCAATTTTTACAATACTACAATACGAGAGTAAAGGTCAACACGGTAGTGCAACGTTCACGGAAAGCAACCCCTACAATAGCCTATCCTATTATGTACACATATGGTCCTAAAAATAAACGAGGTTAAGGATAGGAATAGGTGTAATTATACAGTATATCTTTCGTTACAAACACATTGAGAAATTAAAATTACTTGTAGGTAAATGATCGAGAAAGGGGAGAATCACGGAGGGGCACTTCAATGAAACAGTAAATAGAAAAAAATTATACCTGGGATTTGAAACAGGTTGAAGGTGTTCCGCACTTCATTGTCAAGCCCGTTAAGTTCCAAAAACAAGACAGTGTAAATAAAATGTTCCGAGTCATGCGACATTCTGATAATTGTCAAGCTAACAAATGCTTGTAACTGCGGCGCAGAAATGCTCAGTAAAATAGCTTATGATCAAATTATGTTCTATGTCTTTTGCTAGTCAGAGCAAAAGGAAAATATTCCAGAAAGACCCGATGCAACCAGCTACAGACAATTCCGCTCTAATGCGTTTTCTGGTTTGTTCATCAAATAGAAAATCGTGGTAAAACAGCTTAATTACAATAGAAATAAATCCATTAATCACTTTCGGTTACGGTTAGGGTCTCTATTTTGTAGGCCTATTATTTAATCTTTTAATTTCCTTGTCGGTTACTATTATTTCATTTTAAGTATTATTTGAATGATTATCATGTCCGTGCTCTGACTTGTGCCCAGCCCAGCTTTTGTTTTGGGTCCTCCTGGGTCCTTGCCGCTCGTTCTAGTGGCTGGGTCATGTGTGGGTTGCGTTCATTGAACGCTGCCTTTCCTTGTTAATCTTGTTAATCATGTTTTATAATGTGCTAAGGTTGAAAATGATGCATCTATTAGAATGAGCTCATTTGTTAATTGTATCAAGTACCTCTATGTATCACATTGATTTTTTAAGTCTCCATTTTATAACAGAACTCAGCTGATTCGAGTTATTTAACAGATTCAGTGGCGGCACAGAGTTGCATGGACATGGGGTACTCCAAAGAGATCGTTAAGAAAGCGATAGACATTTTCATTAACAAACACGGTAAGTTCTCTCTTCCTAATGTATTCAGAGAAGCAGTTATAATAATAGTTTCTATTAAAACAAAAACAATCGCACACGGCAAAATTGAAAACGTTACAGGCTCGGTTATGATTAGGCCTGTTCATACACGGTTCGGTAAGCTACCGACCAAGCCTCCCCGCCTCCTAAATTGTTCAATATCATTATGATTATCTTTTTCTGTTGCATGTATAGTTTTTCGAACAAAACCTTTACCACTTGCAACATTCATTGTCAATTCAATGTGGTTTTATATCTAGTAGGTAGTTAATGTTTGAATTTTCATTTAAACAGGTAACGATCATTTCAAAGGGAGGGATATTTGTGAAATCATATTTGATATAGAGGAAAATCCCGAAAAGTATTCTCCCGATGCTGCTGCTAACACAGAAGCTGAAGAAACAACACAAATAAATGAAGACGACGAACCATTAGGTAATGGCTAGTTTTCACAGCTTGATATTCTTGTTTAGAAAACAGTTCAACAAATCAACAGAAAACCTCTAAGAAGATCATTATTGAAAACTTTTAATAAAAGCGCAATTAAATACAACGAAAACTAAGTAACTACTTTACCTGTGCAACATTTGATTGACTTAGTAATTCCCTTATCTTATACATAATACTCAAGTGAAAGCAGATAATAAGACTAACTAACTATAACTGCACAGTTTTTCCTATATTATTTCAGAAACGATTGAAACACTCCTTGGTGAAAACGAAAGATTAAAAGAGCAATACACGTGTAAAATATGTCTAGACAGAAGAGTGGATGTAATATTTTTACCATGTGGTCACATGGTAAGTTGTCCACAGTGTGCACCGGCGCTTACAAAATGTCCTGTTTGTAGACGAACAATTAATGGTCAACTTAAGGCATTCATGTCTGTAATTAATACACGAACATGATAACGGTTACCCTAGTAGACATGTTGTTAATGCGTCGAATTTTCTCTAAATTGAAACCACAAAATTGTTCTCTTAAAGGAAAACAGCGTTTAAACGAAATGGCTAGTGCCGAAGAGAACCACATCAAAGAGATTCTTATTTAGTACTATAATCAATTTAGTTTGGGAAATCACTAAACAAAGTAAACCAGTGTTTTGAACATTGGTGAACAGGGTAGGTCTACTAGGGTGATATAGCATTAAACAATACCAAGATGTGTTCATTGACTTTTTTACCTCATATTATATACTCAACTGAATGCAACTGTAATCTTTAAATGTTATGTAAATAAATTGTTGATTTATAAGTATTAGTTTTTATTCTATTTCCCAACTATGGCATATTTTGTATGATTTCATTAATTTGCCACACAAAAATATATTATCTAATTCCTCTTCTCTTATTTTGCAATATATTTCTCTGACTCGCTTATGTATGTCAGCAGATATAAAATATATTTGTATAACATCATGAAAAATATGAATGTATAAAATATGCAACAAAGCTGCATTAAGATAATTTCATTCCATACCACGTGCAATACTTTGTTTTAAGTGGAAAACAAAATACAAATTATAAGATAACTTAAGAATTAATTCAGTTATTTCTGACATAAAACAATGAAAATACCAATTTTAAATAATTGAAAACCATCGAATTCCTTATACTTTAGTTGTGTATTATTCTGTTAGATATTTATCAGCAATAAATCCCATGAAAATTAAAGATACAAGAGGTAAATGTTTAAGATCGATTGTATACTTTGTTTCGAACTGTATTGATTACTTCATATAGAATATTATTTTAATATATTGCACAATGTATGTTATGAATAAGATAAACATAAATTAAGTAATCAGATTCTTATTTCATAACATGAAATGGATATCAAACTTCGATTAATACATCATAAACAGGGGCAAAGTTATATGCTAGTATTTTTTAATTCTGGAGCCCTACATCACTTTTACAGGTTTTATGCAATATTCAATGAATCCTCGGGTCGGGTTTAATGACTGACTG